CATAAAAAAGTGCTTATATTCAGACTTGTATTGTGTTTATTGCAGATAATGTAAAAACAAGGAATTTAGTTTTTCTACTAATAACGCATTTGTTTATGGAGCAATAAAGTATGAATTCGCTTTCTAAAAGTATTTAGGTAAATATTCATATTTGTCTATATACTTTTGTCCATTACTATAAATCAATTAGAAAGTGATTAAATTGTATATAATTAATATAAAAAGGTTTCTATAATATGTCAATTATTTCGCCCCTGACTGCTCTCATTAGGGATTGAACGTGAATATTATTCAAATGATATTGTAGTGAGGCATCATTTTCACCTAATATGCTACATACAATTTTTAATGTCAAACTTGACTAACCCCAGCGTATTTTGAAAGTAGAACAAATTGGCTAAAAATATTGTGCACAATACAGATTGTTTCGCATGTAGGCAGCATGTTAATGTTAAGCCAACAAAACATCTATTTTCCAAAAATATAAAAGCTCTGAATTTTTACCCATTCTTCAGCCCTTAATAAGGTCTTAATTCTGGAGATACGAAATTATTGCACTGTTAGTTGTGCTCTATGAAGCTTATGAAGTGTTCCAGGTATCGTTTCCTAACCGTCCATTTTGAAAAGGAAACAAGGAAATTGGTGATGTTGAAAAACTATCGATTTTCCGATTTTATTTTAATCTATTATTCTTCCTCATAATCGATTTTCTTAATAATAATAATTGGTTTTTAATGAATCGGTAATATAAATTACACATTTTAATGTTAAAAGGAAATAAAATGAGGATTAGAAAAATGTCACAAAACACGTTTTAATATTTCCCAAATAGGTGGAAATGGAGAAATGAGAGGTGTTTGATTGAATTCTGATCAAAGTGCGGATCAGGGTCTTCCAGACCCCATCGGGGGAAACCAATTGGGGGTTTGTTAGAATATGATAAATAATCACTATGCGCTGAAAAAAAATCCTAACCCTAACGCGTTTTTGAAAAAATGTATATTTTTTTTTCTATTCCTATTCCTGGTAAAAAAAACTATGTTCCCGGGCCGACTCGCCAAAGTGGCTTTGTGGGCTGCTAGAGTACGATAATTCTACAAGATATATGCAAAACAATCCTGACGGTAAGCTGATTTTCAAGAATGACAGGTATTTGATTGAATTCTGATCAAAGTGCGGATCAGGGACTTCCAGACCCCATAGGGGGAAACCGCTTGGGGTTTGTTAGAATATGATAAATAAACACTATTCACTGAAAAAAATCCTGACCCTAACGTGTATTTGAAAAAATGTATTTTTTTTCTATTCCTTTTCCTGGTAATGGGCCCTAAGGGCCAAAAAACTATGTTCCCGGGCCGACTCGCCATAGTGGCTTTGTGGGCTGCTAGAGTACGATAATTCTACAAGATATATGCAAAAAAATCCTGACCCTAAGCTGATTTTCAAGAATGACAGGTGTTTGATCGAATTCTGATCGAAGTGCGAATCAGGGTCTTCCAGACTCCATTGGGCGAAACCACTTGTAAGTTCGTTAGAATATGATAAATAAACATGATTCAGTGAAAACAATCCTGACGATAAAGAGTTTTTGAAAAATTATAATTTTTTCCTATATAAACTATGCAAGGGCCATAAGGGCCAAAAAACTATGTCCGGGGTCTCCCCAAAACTGCTTTGTGAGCTACTAGAGTACGATAATTCTACGAGATATGTTCAAAAAAATCATGTTCCTAAGCCGATTTTCAAGAATGACAGGTATTTGATTGAATTCCTATATACACCATGTAAAGGGCCCTAAGGGCCCAACAAATATTTTCCAGAGCCGACCCGCCAAAGCGACTTTGTGGGCTGCTAGAGTACAATAATTCTACGAGATATATGCAAAAAATCCTGACCCTAAGTCGATTTTCAGTAATGATGAGCGTTTTTTCGATGTGTTTATTATTATCTACAATTATGGTGGCATTTTAGGGGGGCTGTAGGCTATGTAGCGCGACGTTCATTACAAGACTCATAAAGTATAGCTGCCTTATGTGGTTAAAGTGAAAATTGCAGCTGTTTATAACAATTTTTTTAATTATTTTGTATTGCTCCCCAATTTTGGAATGTAACCGGGGTACACTTGCATGATGCATAAAGAACCGTAAAACAAACTGTATTACGTGAAAACCGCATCTATTTACATACATACATACATTTAATGCCAAATTACGTGGTTGTATGTTGCATTGATAAATTTTGTGCACTGCTACCTTTATAATGTTTTCGATCGCGTCCAATCAATCGGTTCTTCAGCCACATCGGAAAATACAAATCGTGTGAGTGCACATTGCAAAAGTATGTAAAATTTGTCAAAACATCTCGCATTCAAAATTTTTTGTAGGAACATCCTAGCTGATTCAAATAATCTGTATATATTGTGGTGGAGCAATAATTATAGCTACCCTAATGTCCACAATTTTGACAACATTTTTCTTTTCTTTGGAATTGGGGCCAAAGTAACAAACCAGCAATCCACCTAAAATTAGGTATACATCTACACAAGTTTATGATAAAAGAGCTACATCTAAACTGGAAAACTTTTTACTCCCTATGTGAATGTATATTGCAATCATGAAAATTTTAGAAATCATAATGTGAGTATTGAAAACAAAACATCACCAGAACCCACATCAATATTTTTCTAATTGAGCTCAAAATGAATATACTGAATGAATGTACAAATTCATGGCATTGGTCTCCACTTGTCCTGTACCCTTGGTAGGTGTATATATTGTAACAGCAATCAGTTATTTTCCTTTAATGTCTGATTTATGGTACAAGCTCACACAATTTCATTTTTATTTGGGATTATATAAGATAAGTAGTTATTTCAAAAGAAACATAAAACCTTTACAACTGAATGAAAAATATTGCCACTGCCTGAGGCATTGAAGATTCTGCTAAAAAATGATTTCTTTAAATGTTCTGAAATCTGCAAATTAGTGTTTCATGTTTTATTGATGATTGAAAAAAAAACACATTATTTAAGTTGACCAGCTGAAATTTTAGGGGGGTACAATCAACATACCTAACTAGGGTAAATAAATCATTCAATATATAGAAACAGAAAATTAATTACAATGCCTTTACAATCAAGTTTCTAATGGTGGAAATAGGCAACCAGGACTAGGCAGTTTAAATGTAAAACTTTAATCTATATTTCAATATAGTTTGGGATTGCCAGAGAATTGGATGACTGAAAATTGTCCCCATGTAAATGAATTTATCATTATTCTAATTTGAAACCCAAACATTTACCTCTACTCAAGCTTAAAATGTTTCATAAGAGGATTGTACTTGTAAGATAATAAGTTAGTTGAATGGGTGAAAAATGTTTTTTTAATATATCACATGATTATATGAAATTAAGAAATTTAGCCTGTAATACTAACCCCCTCAACAGACAAAAAGCATGTCAGCTCAATAAGTCATCAAGCTGTAAAGGAGACATGCTTATAAGGAATCCTATGATTAAAGAGAATACTTTCTAATTTGATAACAAAATGTCCTGGAGTTCATAACAGTATTTGTAAACCAGACGATGCGTAGTAAACAAGATAGCCTACAGTTCAACCAAGTGCACATGCATTTTTAACTACATGGATGGAATTCAAAACGAATCAAGAAAAGAAACAAGCATGACCTATTTTTGTCCGAATATCATAAGTGAGGTGACTGACTCGGTAGCGCCATCCAGACCAACAACAATTACTAGAAAAGTAATTAGTTTTAACGATTGAAGGCTAGACTGATTACAATATCGTCGAAGGGCCTTGGACATGTGAAATGGTCGTCTCCCATTCTACAACTTCTTTAACGTTACGTACTCACCGTCTTTTCTCCTTCGGGGCCTTTTGTTTTGTATCCATTTTGATGGGGCTGTATTTCTTAGGCACTGCTAAGGAAATACAGCTATTATTTGCACAAATTACACTCAAACTAACTCGTTTTTCAGTACAACACACGATAATAATTACCACTACAATCACAACAATCTTTAATCTGTCATTTTGTCAGTCATCGGTCACAAATATCACTCCCACTTTTTCTGGATGGAACAACTACCTAGCTAACTCATAGCAAGGAAAGATGCAGAATAGCGGCCCACGTTTAATGTAGCCTGAGGTACATGACTTTGCGTAGAGATGGCGCAACCTATAACGCAATAAACTAGAACGTGTCACTATGGATGTACAAGGTAGTAGTGGTAGAATAAATAAAAAACTCTCCTGCTGGAATGACAAAAGAGTTTAATTAGACTTATGGAGCATTCGAAGCAATATTTAGGTTACATACGAACATGTTTGAAAGTAACATATATATTTACGTATCTGTCCTAAGAATCAAAATTACATTTCTCATGGCTCTACCTCACGCAAAAGACATAATATGTGTTTATATATTGTGCTATTTTTTTACTTCAAAATAGATTTTGTATCTGGTTTATAGCAATTAGATCAATTGTATATGTTGGTGTATTTTAAAAGAACTATATGAGCAAGTGGCGATCATTCGGCTAAGCCGTCTGTTCAGTTTTTGATAGAGAGTAATCTGGAGACGGCGCTAGTTAGGTTGAATGTCATATCCACAAAACATATACCCTGAAGAAGATTTAATCCGATGCTATTCAATGACAATGTCATATTTAAGGTTCTAAATAGGCAAAGACGTGATTTCCTGATCAGCTGTTCACGTCGATAGACGTCAAAACGTATTGAAGTCAAAATCGTAAAAAATAGGTTGTCCTTCCATCAAATATGTCTTTTTCCAATCTATTTTTGGTTAGTTCTCTATATGTATATTTAAGCGCCAGCTGGACCAAAATTGGACATCGCTATCATTTCAACAATGTCAAGAAGGAATCTGTTTTATCGGATACTAAGTGCTTTCGCTTCTTCTTACACCATTCTTTGTTGTTCTATGTCAAGAACCAAGTGTCAATCTTTTCCTTGTTTTGACTGCTACTTGACTTTTGTGATTTGTGTGCCTGTTAATGAGTTTATTATTCAAAAATGTTAATTTATTCCTACTAATAACCACTTTAGGAAGGATGTGAGCATTCGTGGCTTTTCATACATCTAGCCTTTGTGTTTTGTGAAAGTTGTAATGTATTTCCTATAATAATTAATAGAAAAATGTCAAGTGAAACGAATGGAAACCCTCCAACTGCCACTAAACGTAAGAAAAACCGGGATAAGCAATCACTTTCTAATTCGAACGGCTTTGACCTCAGTTTTTCCAACTGCAGTAATTTTCCTTTTAACTCGACTGCATATCTCACAGTGCCTGAAATGTCGACTCACTATGCATCATGTTTGAACTACACCAATCCTACTGAACCCATCTCCCTACCAGTATATCCTCTGAACTGCCATCCTAAATATAACTGTCCACCTCATCATGTCAACTGGATGAAAGGGAGCTCTAAACACATGACAATGCCTAACTTCAGCCAAGCAAATGGGGACAATGAATATCTGAGTCTACCTGTAGGGAATGTTGATCCGACAGATGATACTTGCAAACGAAGCTTCTCTGATCCTGGTCTACCAGATGAAAGTGACTCTGGATCATCATTTGATGATTGTATTGTACAAAAACTGACCCAGCAGGTGAATAGTTTAAAGGAGAGTAACAAGAGGTTGACTAAGGAAGTAATGGAGTTGAAAGTAGAGGTGAACATGCTAAAGCAACAACAAAGCTACAGGCACTATGATAGAGATTATGAGCCTGGCATGGTTGCTGATATTATTAGAGAAGTCAGGGATGCTGCTAGGGTTAGAGAAGATGCTCTTTTGGCTAGAGTGAAGCATTTGATCGAAGAGAAGCAGTTGGGTCTGGTAAATATATTATTACTGAAACTAATGTTCTGGGAATATTACATCATCAATATGACATTCATTTGCCATCAAAAATGTTGAACTCTAGGAGTGATAGTATGCTAGGGTTTCAACTTCTAAAAAATGGTTTATCTATTTTTTTATATTAAAGAATGTTTGCTATTTTCTTGTTTTTGGTTACAGATGGGTTTTTTGACTAGTCTCTCATTTTGGTTACTGTATGAGAAAAGTTCTAACCTTGGATTATTCTTATTTACCTCTCAACAAATGTTAAAAATAGACCTGCTTATAATTTTAAGATGAAGTGTTGATATTGTAAAGCTAATTAGTTAAAATTATATATGCTTGTAATTCTCTCTCATTTTCATTGTATTTGTATTTTTAGCACAACAAAAAGTTTTTTAATTTCCATGAATAGTTTATTAATCTCAATTTTAGCAATATTTTTTAAATATCTGCTTGTAGCCTCTACCACAAATATTTATTTCCTTATTCAACAGTCATTAGACTGTAGAATGGAATGAAGTTTGTCACATATAACAAATCTAAATAACTACATTTCACTCTAATGTTTATTTTTACTGTGAATTTTAAAATTATTGTTTTCAGATTGTTAGCAATAAAAATAAGAACAGTGAACGGATATCAAAATTAGAAGAGCAAATGAAACATTTGAACATTAATAACCAAAGGTGACTATAATATGTGTACCATTTTTTACATTAAAAATAATAAACAGCTGGGGTGGATCTAGGATACCTTTAGCTCAAAGCACATAGCTCATATTATGCAGCTCCTGTAAACTTGAAGAGCATGGAGGGGGGTTCAGCTATAACTTCATGATATTGGAAGCACACATTTGATCTACTCTTTTGCCCTTAAAACTGCATTCTACTGTCTTCTTGTGTTCTGGTACCCAACAAACAGTTAGTTATATGCATTATCTTAGATCCACCTCTAATGAACAGCATTCCTAACAAAAACTGAATCCATTTAGAAGACAATATGTAGGATATAGGTAAACCTGTATGATTTTATATCTAATTTGTAGGTCAGAAGACATCAATAGCCACTTTAGCAATATCACAAGTGCCACAGAGGAATCAATCAATAGCTCAACAAAGCAAGTCTTAGATCTGGAAAAAGAAGCTTTGGAACTCAGAAAAGAACTACAGAATGCTAAAGCGAAAAAGGAGGAATCAGATAAAAAAATATCTCAGTATGTTTATATTTTATTGTAGGGCTTAATTTCTTTCAATCTTGTTCCTGGTCTCCATTATTTTCTCTCCTCTCTGTGTAATACAAACAGAAATTACAATCTCGGAATATAACAATTTCACACATTCATACATTTTTTGAAGTTATAGCCTACTTACTGTCTCTGTATGTGCCATTATAGGAATTCTATTCCAGATTAGATCTGAAGCTAGCTACTCTTCTGCGCCACAACGAGGCCACAAGTGCATCTGAGGAGGATGAGAAAACAACTTGTTCTTCAATTGAAAATTTGAGTGTCATTACAACTGCCACTTCAACATCTTTGGTTCAGAATGCACCACCTAGGGTCATTCTGACAGGTCCAATCACTGATTTGTGATATGCCATTTAAAGAAAAAAAGGTGCATAAGCATTGGATTTATATTTCATACTCCACTATCAAACTCATGTCAATTTCAGAAATACCTCAGACTTCTACTTGTATGCTTGTATGGCGGAAAAAGTTCGACGATTTATCTCAATTTTTTACATATCCTGTCGAGTTTACTGTTTCCATAAGGTAACTGTTAAGTCATTCATATCAATGGTGCTTTTGAGAAATACCATGTCATTGTAGATTGTATATATCGAAATTCAGCTTATTTATCAAAATTCCTGATATAAACTATAGTACCATCCATATATATTTTAAATTGTGTGAAATTGTATCCATCTGTTAATTATATTGAACCATAAACCATGAAAGATAGATTACATAGCATTTTTGATCTAATATTTTATGTTTGTGACATGCAATGGTAGTTCAGTTAATATTTATGATCCATGTATGAACTATGAAGACTTTCACTTAAATGATCATAGATACATTTATAATCAGTCTTATGCTATATGACAAAATATATTCTACTAGATCTAGGCGACAATAATATTTTTCATATCATGATGATACCTTTCAGTTTATGTATTCTTATTGTGTACTTACTATCCAGGTTTTTGTTTAAAATACACTTAATTCCTTGAATATGCATGCATCAATTACATTAATGTTCAATTTTCAGAACATGGGGGTACAAAAGTAAAATTTCTAATGGTGCTTTATATAGTGTGCTTATACAATGCTTGTAATTAATAGCTTACTTAGTTGCTGTAGTAAATTATTTCGATTTAGAATGCTTTCACTGTGTTATTGGTAGAAAATTGGCATGCTTATATTCGTATAAAACACATCATATAACTTTTGAAGTTGTGCAAATGTGACCAAATAGATATTTTGGATTATTTTTACAGGTTGAGACCTGGAATTCAGTAACAATTCGACGAAACGTTAGGAAACATTGCATCCAAAAATGTCTTACTCTGCTTTACAGATTTTTCAAGTAACAATGAGTTATCGATGATAGACTCATTAGTAAAGAAAACAAGATGTCACGTCTCTGGCATGACGCTTTTCTTAGCATCGTAAGATGAAGACTTTTATACTTAGAATTGCAAACAGACACTAATATTAGAAGAGAGGGGGAAATAATTAATGTGTATTTTTTAGTGAATTAGAGAACTTTTTTAGTACAAGTTTATAAATCATGATATAATGGCCATATATATTTTAGTTGTACTAGAAAACAACGTATACTGACATTTATTAACGTATTCTTTCTGAAGATAGCTATCTTCAAGTAGAATACTTATACTGATAATATTAGATGTGCTATTGATTTTTTTAAACGGCGTAGATTTTTTATTTATCAAGTAGTTGTTTCATTTTGCAGGGAATAATAAACTCATTACGTTTATACGAGGGCGGTTCAATAAGTACCCGTGTTGGGAATGAAGACACAATTTTTTCAAATTTTTTTTTTTATTTTTCAACATAGTCTCCTTTTTAGAAACATACACTTTTCCCAACGTTCCTGCAATTTTTGTAACCCTCCAAAATAATACTATTTGTCGAACTCTCCAAAATACGCCTCTGCCTCGGCGATGACTTCATCGTTTGAGAAAATTTTGCCTGCGAGCCATTTCTTCATGTTAGGGAACAAGAAAAAGTCGCAGGGCGCCAGATCGGATGAATACGTTTGTAACAGCATGCCAAAATGTGGCCGTGTCTCGTTCGATTTTTTGTCGAAGCGATCCAATAACTCACTGTAGTATTGTCCAGTTATCGTTCTTCCTTTTTCTAAAAAATCCATGAGGATGACGCCGTTCGCATCTCAAAAAATCGTCGCCATGACCTTTCCGGTCGATGGGACCGTTTCGCCTTCTTTGGAACAGATTCACCGGGCGAAATCCATTGTTTTGATTGTTGCTTAGTTTCTGCTATGTAATGATGAATCCAGGTTGCATCAACTCGACGCAAAAACTCCTTCGGATTTCGCTTAAATTGCTCCAAACACTGCTTCGAAGTTAACAGCAGCTCCCGCTTGTGGTCCACCGTGAGCAATCGCAGCACTTATCGGTCCGCCAATTTTTTGGTCGACACATCTACGGCCTCTGCTACTTCGCGAACTTTCGTTAGTCGATCAGCGAGAATCATGTCGTAGACTTTTTGAATGATTTCCTCGGTAACCACGTCTAGCCGGGCGTCCTGGTCGCTCCGTATCCAAAACGGATGTTCGCCCACGTTTAAATTCATTGAACCAATATCTTACTGTCGTCATAGATGGCGAAGTGTCCCCATAAACAGCATTAAACTTAGCTTTTATCTCCTCGCATTTTTTCCCATCCAAAAACAAAAACCGTGTTACTCGAATGGCTGTCAAATCCAAACTGACCTATCAGTCTGAAATTTGTTGTGCCGTCGTTTGATAGATGGCAACACACGATGATAACACGAACTTTCCTCAGGAACGCCCTCTCGTCAAACACGGGTACTTATTGAACAAGCCTCGTATTCTGTATAATTCACCTAAAGTCCATTCAAATATTTGTATATCCATAACACATAAATTAGTCTTAAATGGCAGCACGTCGTGGTCCATACCAATAAAAAAGGATTGGTTGATTACCATGAATTCTAAATTATTTTTAAGTGTTTGTTATTCTTGCAACTATTCACAGATTCGTAGACTTGAATGGATTTCCAATTTTTTTACCCTACATGATTGTTTTTTTGAGCGGTGCATTGGAAATATTTAAAATATTTTTGTAATAATAGCCTAATTTTAGCAGAAATAAGAATATGTCCGTCCATTTTTAAACAACATTCGCTGACAAAGTACATAGTGCCTTTTTACATAATATATAATTGGCGGGGATTCAAATCAAGTCGTTCATTTTAAAATTCAGATCGTTCAATGTATCTGATAATTACTTGAAAGAGACTCAACCATCAGGGGCACAAGCAATATGAAGTTTTACCTCTGACAACGTAGTTATGCCCCTGCCTTAAAATTGGATATATGCTGTTCCGCTTCTGCTCAGTAAGTAACTCACAATTGATTTGATTCCCAACTACGTGTATTTCTTACTCCTTATCAAAAGTGAAATTATGACATTCCCATATCATCTATTGTGATTTTTGAATCATATATTTTTATAATGCAGTTTGCGTTTTATCATACTCGTGTTGTATTTTCCTTTTGTTTCAGGTATTCTAACAAACAATAATAGTATAATCAGTTTATATTCCATTAATTTGTAATTCTTCATAACAGTTTTAACATTATAATAGATGGTGAGGTGACTATGTAATGAAACAATGAAGCAACTAGTCCAGGAAACAAGTGTGAAAAAGCCTTACACAAGTACTTTATTTGTTTTTATCGTATGTTGTATTGAAACAAGTCTTTATCGAGAATATCGTAATAAGTATGTCCGACTGCCCAACTTGTCCAAGTAAGGACAACGTCAAGTTAGGGAAAATTGATCCTTCTTAAAATATTTTTACTAAAAGTTGCCTTTACTACTGCTAGTATACGAATAACAAAGTTCATCCTTTTAGCTTTTCTGTTAATGGTAACATGTTTCAAATAAAGATAAACTTTTGATATGGAGTCAGTTCCTGTTGCATCACAGTATTGGGAATAAACTGGTCCTTCAAAGACGATTAAAATTCTCCATGTTCCCTGGACTAAGTTATTGGCAAACAACCGCCTCTACTTTACTGCAAATATTTGCTCGACGTTTAATGGTGTAGCAGTTTATACATAGTAGATTGTTGACGAATTACAAATATATTTTTATAACATTTCCTTGGCTTATTTTCTTGTACGTATCCCTTCAGACAACACACTTCTAATGAGAACTTGCACACTTGAAAAAATATAGATCAATTACCGATGGTTTACAGGAAAGTAGGTTTTCCATTACAGGGAGGATAATGCGGGACTAGAGTGAGGGTTAGTATGCTTTGTTATATTTTTTTGTAAAATCTCATCCAAGATTCAAGAATACGTTTTGCAAAAAGGAAGGAATGTTTAATAGGGGGTCAACTAGGTATATATCCCAGGTTTTATGCGACAGATTTACAGGCTATTGTGTGTTTACCCTATGAGGGGACCCAAACACCCAAAAATGCGGCTAAATTTCTACTCCTTGGGGTAGTTCCAGGATACTTGATGATTTTTTGATAGTCATATTCCAGGTCAGCGACCCAAATTACCTAAGCGCGCTAAATTTACTTATATTGTAGCAAGAGGAAACATAAAAATTTTGACCCACAAAGTCCTACAATATTTTGAGGTTTTCATTTTCAGAAATTTAGACGAAAAGTCGATGTCTAGGTAAATCGTAAGCATCACTTCAATACCAATAAGTCACACGTGAAATTCCAGGCTGCTCGATTTCTACGTGTACCAAATTTCATCTAATGTCTGGAATTTGAAGTTGCAGTAGGTATTGATAGTTTATGTTTGACATTTACGAAATGGAAAGGTAGGAAGGCTCACAAAGTTCAATTAGTCCAAGAACTGAAGACTCATGTGGCCACACAAAAAATCTTTTTCCACCTCGAAGGTCACGCGATTAGCTAAAATTGCTGTATTTGAGGATCCAAGAATTCACAACTTTTCGAGGGGCATCTAGAAAAAGGGAATCTTCCATCTCCTACCCCTATATCATCAGGGTGACCATGAAAAACGTAAAATCGACATGTTGGATTTAGAATGACGTCACATTGCTTATTGTGTTTCTCTCTTCAAGCTTTTTCATTAATGACTTTTGTAATATTTTAGATTATTGTAAAATTCAGAAATTTGCAAATGGTATATTAATATATGTACATATCAGATGAAAATATAGACACTGCTTTAAAAAATGCTAAATTATGACTTGGCAAAAATCATAAATTGGTTAAATGTAAATAAACTAAAATTGAATACTTCTAAAACAAAATGTATGCTAATAGAAAAATACCTAAATGAAAATACTATCACTGTATAAATAGTGAAATAATTGAAAATGTTGAATCAATTAAATATTTAGGTATATATATATATAGAAAATGATCATGAGGAGAAAGGTATACAACAAAAAGTAGGAAAATAATGGCAAAATCCGCAAAAAGGAGGAAAGTGGATTCGAGCAGAAAATAGGACAGGTAACCCGAGCGATACGTATTTCTGCTGGTTGGCTTCATCAGGCTCGAAATGAATGCACTTATGAAACTACAAAAGTAGATACACATGCCCACACATCCGGATACGGGTGTAACCTGAAGAAACGAAGATGGACAGGGGAAAAACGACACACGAAGTCCACAACAAGAGCTAACCTACACTTTGTAGTATAAAATGGCTAGAAGACCTCTAATTTTCAAGGAGTCATCTAACAACAACCACGCGGCCGGTTATAGCCACTTGCTGTGGTACTTCAAGCCCAAATGATCTACCAAGAGAAAATGGTCATGCGTAGAAAGGTATACAACAAACAGTAGGAAAATAGTGGTCAAAATCCGCAAAAAGGAGGAAAGTGGATTCGAGCAGAAAATAATATAGGTAACCCGAGCGATACGTATTTCTGCCGGTTGGCTTCATCAGGCCCGAAATGAATGCACATATGAAACTACAAAAGTATTTACACATATGCCCACACATCCGGATACGGGTGTAACCTGAAGAAACGAAGATGGAGAGGGAAAAAGACGACACACGAAGTACACAATAAGAGCCAACCTACACATTGCAGTATAATTTTTTTTCCCTCTCCATCTTCGTTTCCTCAGGTTACACCCGTATCCGGATGTGTGGGAATGTGTATCTACTTTTGTAGTTTCATATGTGCATTCATTTCGGGCATGATGAAGCCAACCAGCAGAAATACGTATGGCTCGGGTTACTTATCCTATCTTCTGCTCGAATCCACTTTTCTCATTTTTGCGTATTTTGCCCATTATTTTCCTACTTTTTGTTATACATATATATACGAGCCCCTTCCCACTTCAGTTGGCCCACTTCAAGCTTTGTACCAAAATATGCCTTTATAAACTAAACATGACGAAACTATTTACTTCTAAAACAATTTATTTTCTCAAAAACATTTTAGATACACTCTAGTCGTAAAAAATACATCTTTGAAATCACTTAGACCTATAACTAATAGAATATCTGAACAAATAAACAATGTGCGAATAAATGCGCGAAGTTTACAAAGCAACAATAATTGACAATAATTACCATTAGGTAACATCACCTTTATTTTTTATTACGGCTGAAATTCTTTGGGGTATAGTGTTAACCAAATTTTGGCAAAAATTTGGCGTGAAACAATCCCATATTTCTTGAAGCTTTTGTCTCAGTTCGGTGATTGTACGAGCAGGATGTTGTCGTAGAAGCTTTTTCATCTCGTGCCACAATGTTTCAATAGGTGACAGATCTTGACTGCTAGAAACCCATTTCAAAAGTGGTACATTATTTTCTTCCATCCATTTTATAGCCTTTTTGAGGTATGGCACGCTGCACCATCTTGCTGAAACACAAAATCTTGGCCGGATGTTAAACATTCGTCCATCACTGGTAAAAGCGATTCTTCTAAAATTGCCAAATATTTGTTTGTATCCACATTTCCATCAATAAAATGTTTCCTACTCCTTTTGATGACATACTGCTCCAGACCATAATGAATGCTGGAAATTTCACTTTTCTCTTCAGACAGTCATCATGGAATGCTTTATTTTTTTGAGAATAACTCTACTGCGACTGTCACCAATACAAACTTCGAATCGGGCCTCATCATCGTCTATGTTCTTTAGCCCATCTAAGCCGATTTTACTTTTGCAGTGGAGTTAATAGTGGCTTTTCTTTGGCCTATAAACAAATTGTGCAACTTTAGGGTTTTTACTTCACCTTTTTTTATAAGAAGACTTACCTTGCAAGTGCTAAATCCCAGTTTGTAGGCCTCTCTATGAGTTGTGGACCTCGAAATTCTCCTTCCAACAGCGTCACTCCACAGAGCACTTAATTGTAAATAATTGGCACGCCTGTTTATCACGATTATTCTTCTTAATGCTCTTCGGTCGGCATTTGTGATATTACTTTTTTTCACATATCGTGGCTTAATATTAACTGAACCAGTTACGTTACGTATATATCTTCTAACAATATTTCTCACACTGTACCGCGATAAGTCTAACAAAGTTGCAATTTCTGAGTTTGATTTCCCAGAATTAAAAAATTTAATTATCAGGTACAGAATTTTCCTACTACTATAATAGCCTTTCCTCTACCCATTTTGAAATTATTAACTACCCAAAACTACTTTAAACGTATTTTGACAGCTGTGATTAATAAAAACAATTGTCATGGCTTTTATTTTTCACAGCCACCTATGCGTTATAAACTGATTTTGCATTGAAATGAAAATAGGTTGATATGCTGTAATTGCAACATCTGTTATTTTTATGCTGCAAATTTGATTAGGGAGTGATAGAGTTGGTGTTTCCTACTATATATTATTAAAATATTCATTGTTAATATTTTAAACCTATAACACCCTGCTACATTTTTATTATTTGTGCTTGATAAGAAAAAAACTAAGATTTCAATAGTTGGGCCAACTGAAGTGGGAAGGGGCTCGTATATATATATATATATATATATTGATAGTACACTAAAGTTTGAGGATCTCTATGAATACATTATTTCAAAAATTGCCAAAAAACAAATTGCTTCAATATGGCTTCTCATAGTCTAAATACATATTTCAAAAAAATAATTTATAATACAATATTCTACCGCATTTACTATATTGTTCAACTATCTTGTTCACTGACAATGAAGCTGTATTCTCAAAATTACAAGTCCTGGACAATAAAGCTATGAGATTAATACTGAATAAAAATAAGTACACCAGAATAAAATCTATGTTAAAAAGAATTGCAGCGGTTGAATATAAAAATTTCATATAATATTTGGTTCTTATTTTTATATTTAAAATGAACAATCATATTTTGCCACAACATACAAGAGGAAATATAGATTTTCATTTAAAAAATTGCAATACTAACATAACTAGCAAATCAATATTTCAGAAAGGATTACTTGTATTTAATAAACTAAATAATGGTATAAAATCTACTTGTAATTTAAAGATGTTTAAAAGAAAATTGAAGTAATATTTCATGGACAGTGAAAATTTTTAGAGATGTAAATTTTGTGTTTTCTAATCTGTATGTTATGTATTTGTTTAGTTTTTTAAAAGAATGTAATTGTAGCAATCATGCTAAATAAATCTTTAACAAACAAACAAATTTGCTACCCATATCATAGGGGAATTATGAAAAACTTAAATTACGATGTTGCGACGGACGCTACATACTGCGTTTATCGTAGAAAGACAACGGGCATATTTGATTTAGATAATGATGTAACTTCGGTCATTGCGTTTTTCTCATCAAGTCCTCCCATTTGATACCCATATACCATAGTGGTTACTATGGAAACGACAAATCGCCATATTGGATTTAAAATATCGGCAGTTAATTAAATTTGTATTGGCACGCAAACCGAACTTCTGTGCAAAGTTTCGGGTCAATTGGATAAGATTAACTGGTTACGGGTTCAAAATTTAGTTCCCAGATTCGTCCCACACATATCTGCTAACAAACAGGTCAAGCTAAATGAAAACGTGTAATAAGGCGAAACGAAAATCGAAGTTTGAATATTTTATAATAATTATTATCGCTTATTATATTCTCGATCCAATAGTCCAAAGGCTGGATTAGTAAGAAGCTTCCGCACTTGGTCGCTTCCTTT